TTTCCAACTATTGTATCTGGGCCATTTTGGCATGTTATTGTAAATAAAAACATCCTTTTGCTCAAGTATTGTTTGAGTCATTCTTTCGTTTGAAAATTTATGCAAGTTCTAATATTTGCATTATCTTCTTTTTGCTTAAAAGTTTTGCGCAAGTTTTACTATTTGTGTCTTATTATGTGAAGTCTTAGGTGTATTTTACCCCGAAAGTATTTAGATTCCGGGCATAAGTTCTATCGAAATCAACCCTTTAACATGAGGTTTTTCATAAGAGAGGGCCCTTTTATGTTTATGGTGCTCTTGAAGAGGACGCCTCATGTTCATATCTCTTCATGGACTTCTCGCATAACATAATTTGCTTCGGATGCTCCCAAACATCGGGCCAACGGGCCTTGGAAAGATTTTTTGTACAATTGTCCTCCTTTAAAGTTGTACCGTGCTGCTTTGACATGTAGCACCGGAGACGCCTTGGAATCATAGGGCAATTTCCCGTGTTCGAGATAATCGATGATCTCATTCCTCCAGTCCCCGACCAAATTAGTAGTATTTACCTCATAATAGCTATCTTCATCCAGGACCGAGTGCATAAGTTATACTACCATCCCGGACTCTGATCCCTTCATTTCCGTTGATGATCCGAGGTTAGCTAGCACATCCCCTTCAGCATTTTCATCCCTCGGGATGTGAATAATCGACCACTCCTGAAATCGAGCCAGCAGATCCTGTACCTTGACCACGTATTGTTGCATGCGCTCTTCTTTGGTTTCAAAGATCTCGTAGACCTGATTTACCACCAACTATGAGTCGCACTTGATTTCTGTGACCTCAGAATCTAGTCCCACGCCAGTTCGAGTCCTGCAATCAAAGCCTCATACTTTGCCTCATTGTTAGTTAAAGGGACCGTTCTGATGGCTTGCTTTAGGATTTCTCCCGAAGGCATGGTTAATATTATGCCAAGACCGTACCTTTTTACGTTGGAGGCTCCGTCCGTGAATAAAGTCCAAACTCTTGATGTCGATTATAATACCATAACTACCTCTTTGGTTGCTATAGGCAGCAATCCCTGACTAAAATCAGCCACAAAGTTAGCCAAGACTTGTGACTTAATCGCAGTACTTGATTTATATTCTATGTCGAATTCACTCATTTCGGCGGCCCATTTTGCCAGCCTACCCGAGAGTTCGGGTTTGTGAAGGATATTTCGCAGGGTAAATGTGGTCACCATAACTATCGGATGACATTGGAAGTAGGGCCTCAACTTCCGAGCGACGAGTACGAGAGCTAAGGGCAACTTCTCCAAGTGCGGGTAGCGAGTTTCTGCTCCCGTTAAAATTTTACTAACGTAATAAATGAGAAATTACGTACCTTCATCCTCTCGGACCAAAACTGCGATTACCGCTACTTCCGAGACTCCGAGGTAGACCAACAATATTTCACCTTCCTTTGGTTTTGAAAGTAATTGAGGGCTTGACAAGTACCTTTTCAAATCTCTCAAAGTCTGTTGGCATTCTGGGGTCCATTACAAGTTGTTTTTCTTCTTAATTAGTGCGAAGAAACGGTGGCATTTCTCTGATGACCGAGAAATGAATCTGCTCAAAGAGGCCAATCTCCCTGTGAGCCTTTGGACTTCTTTCACGCTTGACATCTGATCTGGAATGTCTTCGATGGCCTTGATCTTATCGGGATTTACTTCGATCTCCCTTTGTAATACCATAAATCCTAGGAACTTATCGGAGCTGACCCCGAACGCGAATTTCTCGGGGTTAAGCTTCATGTTATGCTTCCTTAAGCTGTCAAATATTTCTTGCAGATGCTTAAGGTGATCACATGTATTCAAAGACTTAACGAGCATATCGTCTATATAAACTTCCACAGTTTTCCCTATTTATTTTTCAAACATCTTATTTACGAGCCTCTGATAAGTGGATCCGGCGTTTTTCAAACCGAAGGGCATCATATTATAGCAATATATGCCGAAATTCATTATAAACGAAGTCTTTTTCTGATCCTTCGGGTACAGTTGTACCCAGAATAAGCATCGAGGAAACTCATTAACTCATGCCCGGTCGTAGCATCAATCATTTAATAGATGTTTGGCAATGGGAACGAGTCTTTTAGGCACGCCTTATTCAAGTCTTTATAATCTACACACATGCAAAATTTATTGTTCTTCTTAGGAACTATTACTACATTAGCTAGCCAGTCTAGATACTTTACCTCTCAGATCGAACCGATATCGAGTAAGCGAGTTACCTCTTCTTTAACGAATTTGTTCCTGGCCTCCGCAATAGGGCATTTCTTTTGTCTCCAGACTTAGCTCGTGTACGACCCCCTCCGTTGGGATACCTGTCATGTCCGCATGTGACCAAGAAAAATAATCGGCATTAAATTTAATAAATTCAATAAGCCAGACCTGAGCTCGAGGTGCAGTCATGTCCCCAAGTGGAATTTCCTTTATAAGAACTCTTCAAACAATGCAACTTGCTCGAGCTCTTCCGTTGTGGATTTTGTTGCATTCGTCTCTTCTGGTGCCTGGAAATACCTTGGCACCTGATAAGATTCTGACGCCTCTACCTCCATGCTAACTTCATTCGATTCAGGAGCGGGCGCCGGTTCCATCCGCCCATTCATCCGGAACAGCCGGGAGTAACATTCTCTCCTTTTGGAACCGGGTAACAAACTCTCGCAGCAACTCGGATTCTCCTTGTGCACTTCTGAATATGTCGGCCTTTCAGGCCTGCACTTTTCTGGACCCAGCATGAGCCTTAATAAAAGAATCAGCGAGCATCTCAAAGGAATCTATGGAATACTCGGGTAACAGCGAATACCACATCAAGGCTCTCCTCGTGAGAGTCTCTCCAAATTTCTTCATCAAAACATATTCAATCTCGTGAGGAGCTAAATCATTCCCCTTCACTGCCGTTGTATAGGTGGTAATATGCTCCTGAGGATATGAAGTTCCCTCATACTTTGGCATATCAGGCATTTTAAACCGCTTCGGGATTAATTCTGGTACCGTGCTTGGCTTGTATGACAACTGAGTATACTTCTTTGAGTCCGTACCTTTTAGCATCGGTGGTGCTCCCGGAATTTGGTCCATGCGGGCGTTCACTTCCCTTATAAACCGTAAGAGTTCATTGTTGAAGGGGTCGTTTTCGTTATTGGGGTCGGATCTGCTCCCCCCAGCCCCATCGGAGCCAACTTCGCCTCTCGGGGTATTGTTGTCGACCCTCTGCGTTGTTTGATTCGCGGGAGCGCCGGGAGGAACTAGACCTCGTCTATTCGCGTTACTTGAAGCCCCCGACAACACCTGCTTCAACTTCATCATAACTTTATCCTGTCGTGTGAGGTGGCCTAGGATGATCGCTTGTTGTTCTTGTAGGACCCTTACTGCATCAATAACATGCTCCTCTTCAGCATCATCAGAAGTTGCTTCCCGAACAATTCGTGGGTACCGCGTGTCGTGGACCGACGTGGCATCATTTCCCTCATTGTGGGTGTCACTGACTGAATCCTCGAGATGAGGTTGGTCTCCTTGAACTTCAGGATTGTGTGTTGTTAACACCATTATCTGTCATATCTTATGATTAGTTGCTAAGATAAATAGCCAAAACACGTTAGTAAAAAAGGTAAGGGTCAGCTTAATTACACGACTGTCTATGAGGGCCATTGAAGAAGGTGTAACAGTGAGCATAAATTCTCTGTAACGGGCAGTGCACTAAATGCTGTGGAATATTCTCCATTAAATGCTACCGGGCGGAGGGTATTTATTGCATCTTTATGAGCGTTATTCTTTCCGGTGACAGACGGGACAATTGCCTTCGGTTTTAGCTATCCCCGTCTTAAGTTCCACATGTCCCTCTTTTGGACGGTCACGTAGCATAGCATATTTTACCCTATACAATATCCACTAATACGGACTTAATAACGGGTTTGGATTTTTATAATTTTTTATCTCCATTAATAAACTAATCAAGAAGTATATTGACACTTATTAATGGAAAAAATTTGCAAATATTTGAAGAAATGCTAGCGTTCAGAAATAGATCCAGTTTCAGACCAAACTTATTGAGAATATCCTCCAACCACATTGCTTCGTTATGGCACCATTACAAGATAAATGTGAATTACATAAATTAACCAACTATAGAAAACCAGCCTCTCGCAAACTGGAATACCTTTTCCGCCTGAAATCGGAATGCCTGGGAAAAAAAACGTCTACCACATCAGTATAACAAAGTAAAGAATGACATATTCTGAACAGAAACAGACTGCCCGCAAAAGCACATACAAGTAGTCAAGAAGTAGTTGATATGCCAATGATCAATTATTGACAAATAAGAGAAAAGATGAGGCGATGGTCACCGAGGCACGGCCTCTAGTGTCGAGGTATTCTACCTTAGCACTGAGGCGTAAACACTGTTGAAAACTATTAATTAACGTGTTAATTAACCAAGAATCTATGATCTCAATGTTCGGAGACTTACCATGAAAGCTGAACCGAAAAAACTACTTGAATGCCTTTTATACAGAATATTGTTTCGACTAAGTGATATGCATTCACTCTAATTATTAAGTGATAAAATTAAATAAATTGGCTTTACGTGAATACCATTGGCAAATAAGTATACCACTGCAAGTAAAACCCTTGCCGTGAGGAAGGCTAAAAATAAGACTAGAATAACCTTAAAAATAAAGGATGCAACTACAAGTGAAAAACTCCCTACCAGTATGCTTGTCATCATAATCTCTGGCATCCCTGTTTGAAAGCAAATTATTTCTCAAAACCTTAGAATTAGTACATACAAAGAGTAAAACAAACACACAGCAGCAACGTCAGAATGGCAAGAAAGAAATAGAAAGAGCATCGACCATTGGCATCGCCTCCTAAGTAACATTTTAAACATCAATTGCTCAGCAAAACAGATCCATTAGAGCAATTTATGGCTTGATATGAGTTTTATTTGACTGCAGCCATTAAATGATACAGTCTCAACAGTTTCTGAGCTGCAAAACAAACATGTACTGGTAAAAAAATATTCAAAATTGGCAGTTGATTATGACAATCTCAGGAGAAAAATCTAAAGTCTTAGAATAAAGGGTACCCATCATCATTTTTGAAAAGGGTTAATAAGAATGTATGAACTTAGAACGAAGGCATAGGTTCAAGCAACCACCTAAATTTATTTTTACAGAGCAAAAAACACCACAGAACAAGTCTTCAAATTGCAGCAATGCCTCATGTCTATGGATTTAAGATAACAAGTCTATGGCTTGAGAGCCAAAGCAAGTCCAAACTTGGCACCCTTGTCAACAGATTTAGTGTCCACTTCTCCTGAAATGGTGAAAAGAGACTTTGGACGCCACTCATGTTGAAGCAGAGCACTAGCCTTGCCAAAGTTGTTAACCCTTGCCTTCACACTGGTCAAAGGATCCAATCGATGCTGAGTGCCAACGGTGATGGTGTTCTCATTGGTGGAGAAGCAATGGTTCACCTCAGCCCCAACAGCAGTACTTGTGAAAGGGCTGACGGAGTGGTAGTAAGATGCACTCAGATTATCTCCCTTGTCATTCCTGGGTTGTCATAATACATGCACATTAAAGAACAAGCTTCTATGAACTGAAATAAGTAACCCCATAAAAGTACTCCGAACAATGCAACCTATGATCATTTTTGCAACGATTTTCTAATAGCTTAGGCTAATGAATTAACATTCAACTTGTACACCTAAGTTGGCATTTAGAAAATGCCGAATTTCAAGCAGACACATGCTACAGTAATGTAAATCACTCACAGATTCAAAGAAGCAACAAGGTCAGCATTTGTGAAGCTCAAACCGGCATTGCATTTGGTGAAATCTCCTGTTTTGGAGTCAAAGGATACATCAGTTCCAAGAGCAAGAATGTTGGTACCGACAACACCAGAAAAGTTAACAATGGGGTTTGCTGTTAACCCAACACTGGTGCTTATCCCAGCATACTCGTGCAAATATTGAACTTCCAACTGTCAAGATCAATACAAAATTCAGAACACACGACACTTCTCTTCGTTTAATAAATATATATGATTCCATATGATATTGCTAGTTACCTTTCCAGACCTTTGATCAGGAACTCTAAAGCTTAAAATTGTCTTCAACCCGGGAGCAGCGTCATCAACAGTAATGGTTGTGAAGAGCTAGCATAAATACATCATCAAGTCAGATCAACTGCTTTGTCAATATACATATCTTAAAAAGAAAAGGGCAAACATATTATGCTTAAATACTACATCCCAAGATGCGAAGACTGAAGAATGAAACAGTAAACGGAAACCAATCTACAATTAATCAAAAGTTTTTTTGCATTCGCTCTCTAGTTACAGGTTAGTTAGAGATAAAAAAAAATGACAAAGGAGCAAACAGCAGTACTCACGTTGGAATTTGTGTCTACTTTAATGTCTGTTGTAATATTCTTGTTCTTCAACTGAGTGTTAACATCAGCCAAAAACAGATCACCTTTCTTCGTTCCTGATGAAGTAATAGCCTGTGGAAGGACACAAAAGGTTAACTTGCCGAACAATCCTAACAGCAGGAGAACGAAGTAGATAAAAAATAAAAGCGAGTCAATGAGAAACAATGCAGCAGAAATTTGCATTTGTAATCCAAAGGCAGTACAGCAAATAATCAAACAGATTTTTGTGGCAACAAAAAGAAGAGAGAGCAATCAGCCTAAAGCAAAATAATTGTCATTACTAACTTCCTATCAATCCATAAAAATGAGGTCAAATTACCAATTTGGATAAAACATTCGCCAATCCAAAAGTTTCACACGCATAGAGAATGGGTAAATATATCGAACATGGTGTTCCGAACAACTAATATACTAATGGAACCAAATCCGAAGACTTTTACATGCATTAAACCATCAAAAAGATGTACTAATGTCTAAGTGTACACATAAAATGCTCGTACTTTCTCGGTCCCATTGTACATAATGACTTACGAATAATATTAGTTGAGGTCAATTTGTGAGATAATAATATTATTTGTGGAACAGACCAAAATGCAAAAACTGTCCTTCATTAAGTTGATAAAGGAGAACAAATTCCTTTATATTGAACAGCCACAATCAATTGTGATGAATTAAACAATACACAAGGAGATTAGGAGATTGAAATTAAAAGAGCTAAATAAGCAAATAAACAGATCCGCAAGAGAAAGGAGGATAAACTCACAACTCCGGTGGGAGAGTAGGTGGTAATAGTGAACTTGTGGTCACTCTGGTAGTCCTTGTACAATAGATCTGATTATTCAATGCAATACACAAAAATAATATTACCAACAGAAGCAAGCGAAAATAAAAGTTGAAAACACAAAAATCAAATCAACACCGCATTTTATCTAACGAATAACAGCTCTAAATAAATAACACAAACAAAATCATTTCCCGTTTTGCATTTTCATAACTTGATAAAAATACATACATATGTTTAAACGTGAGAAATCAAAAATAAAATAGAAAGAAAGAGAGACGAACCTCGAGTCTTCTTGCCGATTTCAGTGTAAAGACCAGGTCCCTTGCCCATGATTAAAAGCTAAAATCGGAGTAACAAGAAGAAAAGAAGAAAATGCAAAGGAAGCTCTAGTTCTGGACTCTGTAGCTGCAGTAGAGGGTGCTGGGATTAGTATATAAGTGCTGCAATGCCCTAATTCTTTGGTCTCTTTTTGAACGGTGTGCTATTGCGTAGTGATCTCAGCCGTAGATTTGCAGCTTGGTAAGACAGTGCTTGCCGCTTAGGACCGTCGATTTTCTGCTTCGAGATGCGGACTTATGAGGAGGGTATTACGTTAGCATGTTAAATTACAATAAAATTTGAGAAATATATTACTTATAGTATAACAATTTGGAGATTGGTTTGCTCTTGTTTGTTTTTTTTTTTTTACTTTTATTTTCATAATAATAAAAAAATTGTTGTATTTTAAAATGTTTATACTAGATATAATTTGTAACATTTCATTATCTTAAGAAAAATATGTTATGGCGCTATATTTGTATGGAGCATAAATATAAGTGAATCAATACTAAAATATGTGTATTTGAATCATGTTTAAAATACTTATCTTTTAAAATATAATATATGTAAAATAATAGTGTATCTCATTTATTTATTAATTTGATTGAGTGGTGGGTACTTTTCTCCTAGTCCCTTTTNATATATATATATATATATATAAGGAGAATAGAATACTGTTCTGAAAAGATACAGTATCGTTCCAGCTATATGTATGGTGACCAATTTTTAGTTCCCAGTCTAGAGACTCTAGACCAAGCAAATGATAAGGTTCTTATTGGGCCAAAAAGATGTACTTGATCGATGTTGTCTATTGTTTGTGCTTTACGTAGTAGTAGATTTTATCAAATCAAATTTATAATTTAATAAATCCTTCCATTAGTAGATTAATTAAGAGCAAGTTTGGTCAAATTTTTGGGAGGTCAAAAGTACTTTTTAACAAAATAGAAGTAATATTTTAAGCAGAAACAGTTTTCCATTTTTGGGGAAAAAATACAAATTCTACTTTCTTTCAAGAAGTAGAATCAGAAGCAAAAAATAATTTTTTTCAAGACAAATTTATTCCATTCATTTATTCTCTTTTTCATTTTCGTCTTATTTTTATTCCTTCTTCTATTGCTTTTTAGAATAGTTTCTCTACTATAAATAGATCTCTTCTTTTATATAGTGATTTATGGATTAGATTTTTAATTTTATACTAAATGATGTATTTTAATATATTTAAATTATGATCGTAAATTATAAGTATTGCAAGATATTAAATATTATTGCTTTGGGTAATTATATGTAAATTATAAGATTAAAAACTTTAATATATAAAATTCATTTATGTTTTATATTTTTAAATAAATAAAATAAAAAGTTAAATTCTCTCTTTTAGATAATACTAATTATAAACTAACTATTTTGTCTTTTTCTGTAATTTGACACTCAAAAGTATTTTTAAAAAGATTGGTCAAACACAATTTGCTTATCAAATATTTCAAAAAGCACTTCTCAAATGAATTGATCGAACACCTTATTACTCTCCAAAAGTATTTTTTCGAAAACTATATTTAAACAAAAGCAATTTTCAAATAAACAATTTTTGGTAGCTGGCCAAACGAGCTCTAATATTTTTTTAATAGAATTCTAAGTCTAAAAAAGTTGAAAACAGAAGCCTTATTTTTTTAACATATCTTACCTCATTTACTGCTGGCGTCTCACATAACTACCGCTTAGCACTATAGTGGTAACACATTCAGTTGTAATTCCTCACACTAGTTAGTTGCAAGGTTACTAACTTTCTCTATTCTTCTGTATGTATTCTCCAAATTCACTACTCATAAATACATCCTTTTTTGCGAGTGTAACACATAGAGAGAGATAACTACTACATACTTTGCCCTCCACGACACAAAATAACATTAGAAGTGACTCCTTTTGGCACATTGTCGATAGAGGACTAAAGTGATAAAGGGGAAATACATGTCAAGAAAGATACATCACTTTTGGTTTCTTCAACATCGATAATTATACCAATGTCTATACAAGCTTTAGCGGATAGAATTACCTCGTATAGGTTGCTGGTAAAATGTGGTAGATATTCCGTAAAATTAGTTGAGGTGTGCGCAAGCTGGCTCGGACACCACGATTATCAAATAAAAAAAATTATACTAATAGTTTAGATCAAACGTGAGGATCTATTCACTAGATTCACTAACCTTGAAACTAAAAGGACGTATTTGTAGGGAAAAAATTCGATATAATAACACAATGTCAAGTGCTTACTACTTAGTGGGCAATCACATTGCCCAACACCTATTATACAACTAGTTAATTTATCCGCGCTTCGCGCGGTCATTAAACAAATATTAGTGAGTTTATTAACAGCTTGTTAGGATGATTGTTACATATTGTTTTATAATGTATCATTATGTTGTTTCATGATATCACACACCAGCAATTTATTTGCAATATTATAAAGAAAAATTATAATACGGGGTAAATTATTATATAAAAAGGTAAGGTAAATGATAAAAAAAATTATTTAATAATAATGAAGGGTGAGATAAGAGAAAAAGATAAGGTAACGATGCGATCACACCAATCGGTTGTTACATAAAGTGGTACATTTCGTCGTTACGTAACGACGGATTTAACGATACGATATAATAAAATTTAAGTAACAATCAAAACAAACATCGTATTTAAAGTAGAAACGCGATATAATTCAATAGGTAACAATCATCCAAACAAGCTGCAAGTGATCATTTTATAAATTAGACCATATAGAAAAATAAGCAACATGACAATCACTTAAACTAATTTTCATCTACAAAAATTATATCTAAACTAATCAAATCTCCTTTTAAGTAAATCTGGGAAGTATTATAAATTAATAATGCCTTACTGAAAAAACTTCTATAATTATAGTAAATCACAACAAAATAGACATTTTTTCAATCGTTCCACACTTATCTAAAATTTCTCTAAAATAACCAAAACTACAAGCAGTAAAACGAAGGAAAAAGTCACATAACATTTTTCACCTAGTTCTCAGTAAGTGGCATTTGTGCTATCATTTTCAATTTGAATCTAATTAGATAACTATTTTCTCAATTATGAATGTAAAAAAATAGCTTCTTTCTTTAGATAATCTTTTTCTACCATCTGCTTTCACATGTCACATCTAAACTTTTCTACTTTTTAGTTGATATATAGGAAATAATCATAGCTAAGGTTCAAGTAGAAGGAGTGGCAGTTGTTATTGGCTCAGGTGCCCAACCTGGGGATAGACAATTGTGTAATTGCTTTTAAAAAATAAAAATCGAATGCATAATCAAAAAATCCATACAAAACAATCAGACAGAAAAGCAAATTAAAACAAATAAAGCATTGAGTACTTTTGTTTTGTAGTTTCGTAACTACAGAATTTTTAAAGAGCGGTTCTCTCAATTTGAGGGAAAAACTTATCAAAAAGAAGAATCAATTGTATGAATAATAATATTTCTAATTATAAATTTTAATGGAAATTGGAATAGGATGTTAAATCGATTTTATTTAAACTCTGCTGCAAAATTAAGAGGCGAGTACTTGCGGCGTCGGCCATTTTTTCAGTTATATATTGTTTCCGTGGAAGTTTAAGAGGCCAAAAAATTAAAGGAAGCCAAACATTGCTAAATGAATTTTAGAAAAATCTTGTTCGTATTTTTCTCATCATTTAGAAATCGAATGCCAATTGCCAAGTGCAACAACTATTAACCAGCGCATTTAATAAATTGATACACTTATATAATAAAAAATAGTAATTTCACATCATTTCAAAAATAAAAAATAGTATCTTCACAGTATTTTAGAATTTCTTTCTACAGCTTTTACTTCTCATTTTAGCCACTAAGCAATGAAAGATATTATAACTAAACAAATATACCATATAGTGAGAGGCTTCACAAGCTTCACGTTCCCGTTTCGAAATTGGTTAAGACCATAGTATTCTTTCTTGCCTTATTTTTCTTCTAATAAAATACATATAGTAGAAAAATGGTAATCCTATAAAGTCAAATCATAAAATTGTATTTCTAGATTCCCATTGTGCTTGATAGATAACAGAAAGACCGTTGCAAAAGGGTTAGAATAGCAGATAACTTCTCAAAACCATGTGACTTAGAAGGTTTTCTTGCAACCCCGTGGTATCAAAATTCTTATTCAATTTGCTAACTCTAAAATTCATTCTGTCTTAGTTATACTATTATCAGCACTATAACCAAAACAAACATTTCCCTGCCTTCCAATATTAGTTTTCTAACATAAATTTTAATCTGGAAAGTACCTTAATTGTAACAAATAACACAACATAAATATTATTTTTAAGAAAAAAAACTCACCTTCAGAGCTTGTAATGTGTAATATCCATATCTGCTTGATTTGAAGAAACTCTTGAGAAAAACTACTCATCCTTAAGATATAATTATACGTAATTGATTTTCAAGTTTTTCTTTAGTTGTAACTTGTAAGAAATAAAGTTTGTTCACTATCAAACAATCCTCCATATGATCTATATCTTCTTCTGTGTATTTTGTTTCTCACTTGCTAAGAAGGTCCATAGCATCTTTTCGGCTTCGTTACGCGGTTGGGTAGTTATTTTTCAGAGTTCGTTCTTCCTTATGTGTCATATTCAAGTTGTGGTAGCTTATTGCCTAAGAAGCTGTACTGGGTGAGACGAGGTAGTTGGACCTGAAATCGGTGCGATCGGATTTATGTAAGGTATATTAAAGGGAAAATGTCAATATTCTATTCAGAATGAGGTAATGGTTCTTGTCAAGAAGAGGAACTCCGTGAGTTATTGATTTAACGGGTGGTTATGAGTTCATGCGCATCTCTTTCGTCATTGCAGTATTGTGAGGGTTGTGATCGGGCTTAGATGTGTTATAAGGTATACTATGGGCGTCAGGTCAGTGAATTTGCAGTTGTTGTGCTTGGAGGAGGTTACTATGGGCAAATGAGTTATGCGGTGCATTGTGTGATGTCAGCGTGGGTGCATGATCATGTGTGGGTTCGGCATGTGGAGATTAATACGATGTTCGTATGTTAGAATCAAGTCTTGTTGAGAAATTCGGAGGTTGAAATTTGATCCTATGGCTTAT